GTGCATGCATATTAGGCCTCCCTAGCTCCTGACCTATCGACCTGCCTAATTTACATTCCGGCAGAATTATCAAGAAATAAACTCCCCCTAACTTTCAAAGAGTTATCACAGAAAAAAATTAGAAATGGAAATATTAAGGTATAATAAAATATTCATTGTTGATTTTAAAAAGATACGGGTTACTAAATTCTTTTTTTTAAATAATTTATTGTTTGTAAAGCGGTGTCCCTGATATTCTTGTCATTACCGAAACGGTGAGATAAAACTGCAAAATATAGCCTAAGAGACAAGAAAGATAATCCAAAAGAAGAAGCCACGTGATTAAAAGTTTCAGAAACCGCCATCTTTGGTACAAGGCATAACGCTCTCCTGTGGGTAAGTAGGCAGATTACATTGTAAATGGTCTTACTTTAAAGCATATGTTTATTCAGTGTCATTACCGAATGCTTGCTACAATAAAAGTACGATCACCTAGGAAAAATGCAATTGTTTAGAAAAAAATATAGATTGGCTTTGAATTGTGTTGTACATTATTTAACCCCTTTTGGCAAGTAGCGCCCTCTATATTCTGTTTAACATTTCAAAATGTCATTACCGAAACGTGTCATTACCGAAAAATCCCTTGAATCAAATCGTTTCGGTAATGACATCAGTGTTACGGTAGGCCTAGAAAAAAATATGTTTGTTTCCGCTTTCCCGACCGACCCTAATTTATATTGCCGACCCTAAATATTTTTTTTAATGCCTTTGTCCCATGATGTGCAAGATTTCAACCAGGGAATTATAGCCTCCAACTTTGCAAGCTTTTCAAGACGGAAAGAAGTTTGGGTCACCTTTCTATTATAAGTTAAGTCACAGTAATGCTTGAAAACACCATTTCTTTTGTCATTAATGTTACTTCTATACACGTTTTGATTAAAGAAGCAAAAAAATTTTTTTTCAAAAAAAAAAAATTGCCTACCTACCCTACATTTTTTCAGCCTGAAAGCGGAAACAAACATATTTTTTTCTAGGCCTAATGACAAATCATATTTAGATTGTCTTGTGCATGGATTTTACAACACTAGTGTAGTGATTTATGCATAAAGAGGTTGCTACAAATAACTCCTTATATGTGGGTCCAGTCCTGGGAGGTAGGCGAGACTAACCTACATCTATAAATACACAGTGTTTTGAACAATTGTTTTCAAATGCTGATGAATTACCTGTTTAAAAATTAATTTTGCTTAAGCCCTGACTGTTTCTAAATAAATTTGGAAAATATAAGGAATGATAACTGGGGGAGGGGGTTGTATAACTATTTACCGGAACGCACTGTCACTACCGCAACGCATTGTCATTACCATAACGAGGAGAAAATAGGTCAATTAATTATCAATTAATCTAATAATAAATGTAATAAAGTGTTTAATCAACATGCATGAGTCCGTGAAATCTCACACCGTAGAAAAATGGAAGTAAAATAATCATATACACTCCTCAAGTGGTTTATTGACCAATGGTTTTTTTTGCATATTTAAAAAACGTAATTTAACACCACAGTACGAAAAATAATGTGCGAATATTTCACTCAAATAATCATGAAGGTAAGATATTACTAAGATTTATTACTTCAAACTATGAAAAAATTGGTTTAATACTGTAACAATATTTTATGACGATTTAGTCGTCTGTTGCGGTAATGACAATTTTTGTTCATATGTATGTATGTGTAAGTCTCAAAATAAGCAATAAAATATTTTAAACATTGCTGCTGCATGTTGAAATGGTTTCCTCTAAGTTAGATTTAGTAAATAACGCAGAAAAATTGAATAAAATAGGTTATATGAATTCTGACTTTTGGAAAGTTCGTTTGGGCCTCTATCCATAGAATGACCCACCCAAAACTGAACCTGGCCTAGATATTCTGTTGATAAATCTGTATACCAAATTTCACCTCAATATGTGCAATCTCTGTGAAGAAAATGAACAGAAACTGCAAACAATTGGAATATAATTTCCAAGGGGCAAAACTCTGTTCAAAATGGCCCGAATGTACCCAAAACAGAAATAACTCTAGATACGAGGGGTGATAAAAAAAAGTTCGCGAAGTAATTGAATAACTTCCATAAAAGAAACAATACTTGGTTTCAGTGTTGATTATATTTTAAATTTGTCCTATCCAATTTTAATGCACATCATCCACCGTTCTGCTCATGCGCGAATCACGTGATATAGGCGGTCACGTGACCCCCTCCGTAGCGTTCTGTCACAAAAGCAGGGAGATTTTTCTGAGTTTTATGTTTATTTCCATGTAAGTTAATTTTTATAACGCGAACAGTTCATTTGTCAGAAATGGTCAAATCTTGGCAACAGAATTGATCGATAAGAATATCCTTTCCAAAAATAAGCATGGTGACCATTAAAACCCAGATCTTCTGTCTCGGGAGAGACGTTTATTCAAGGTTGATAGAGAATGGGTGCCTCCATGTTATCATATCTTAAAAAATCTAAAGTAAACGATATCTTAGGTTTTTAATAATTATATTATTGTTCAAATATTCAACTATTTTTTAAAGTGTAAATTGGAGGTCTTTGATAGCAAATTGCTGAATTAAAAACACATTTCTTTTCAAACTTGCTTTCACTGGGCAACATAACAAGTTGACTATCTGCCTTCCTTCACTAAACGATCAAAACGATACTATTGCAAAGGAATTTCTAAGATATACAATGAAATGCACAGTCATTTGTTGAACGACTACGACTGAGACAACCATTTTTCGTCACAAAGGACCTATATAGTGACGTCATTTTCACATTGTGACGTCACAAACAAAGAGAAAAACTTTATTCAGCATATGCTATTTATAGAACTCGTGTATGGCTGTGTGTGTGCACACCAATTTTTCTTCTAATCTGAATTGTGGTTTTGTAGATATAGAGATAGTTCGCGAACTTTTTGATCACCCCTCGTATTCCTATGATAATTCTGCATACCAAATTTCATTTCAATATGTGCAACCTCTGTGAAGAGAATGAACTGAAACTGCAAATGGCCCGAATGTACCTAAAACCGATTCTTCTGATATTTGCAAGCTCTGCGAAGAAAAGGATTGAAACCACAGGCACTTGTTTCGTATACGGGGTACCCCCTACCTATATATAGGTATGTACCCCGTATACGAAACAAGTGCCTGTGATTGAAACTGCAAATAATTGGAATTCTTTTAAGTCCAAGGGGCTTAACTCTGTCCAAAATGTCACGATCGTACCCAAAACAAAAATTGATTTAGATATGTTCTTAGGTTAAATCTGCATACCAAATTTCATTTCAATATGTGCGGAACGGAAACCGACGGTGGACCGACAGACAGACAGACAGCGGGGGGGGGGGGGGGGGCGGGGGGGGGGGGGGGGCCTGTGAAGAAAAAATTGATATGAAAGAAGCTGGAACCAACGCATCTATTTAATATTATGATGAATCAAGAAACTAGGAGTGTACGTATTTTAACGGTACAGTGCAGTTGAAAAGTTGAAACACATACAACATACATGATTATAATACAGAAAAAATTCTTTCGTGTGAAAAAGTTTGCTCATGCTAATTTTTATCCCAACATGTTTTTAGGTCACCTGAGTAACTCAGGTGACCTATTGCTATCTGTTTTCGTCCGTCGTCCGTCATTCGTCGTCCGTCGCTCGTCGTCCGTCGTGTGTTAACATTTGAACATTTTCAGCTTCTTCTCTGCAACCACCGAACCAATTTCAACCAAATCTGGCACAAAGCATCTATGGGTAAAGGGAAACAAAAATTGTGAATTTCATGATCCCTGCCCCCCTGGGGCCTGAGGAATGGGACCAAAACCACTAAAATTAATGCAATCTTCAAAAATCTTTTTCTTTACTCCTGGGCATCAAGCAGTCAAACTGTTTGCATGATTGTAATCAGCATTGAGTCCTCTACCAAAATTGTGAAATTTATGGCCCTGGGATCAGGGGTTCTAGAAGGGCGGGGCTAAATAAGTATATAGTGAAAATGCATTATTTCTTTGAAAATCTTCTTCTCTGCTCCTGGGTATTAAATAAACCAACTAAGTACATAGTTATATGATGAGCAAGAATGCCTCTACCAAAATTGTGAATTTTATGGCCCCAGGGTCAGGGGTTCTGGTGTTAGGGCAGGGTTCTATTGATTATATAGTGAAAATACATGAATCCTTTGAAAATCTTCTTCTCTGCTCCTAGGTATTAAATAAACTAACTAAGTGCATAGTTATGATGAGCAAGAGTGCCTCTACCAAAATTGTGAATTTTATGGCCCCAGGGTCAGGGGTTCTGGTGTTAGGGTGGGGCTCTATTGATTATATAGTGAAAATACATGAATCCTTTGAAATTTTTCTTCTCTGCTCCTGAGTATTAAATAAACTAACTAAGTGCATAGTTATGATGAGCAAGAATGCTTCTACCAAAATTGTGAATTTTAAAGGGGGGGGGGGCTGTACTTTATTATATACTGAAAAATGAATGAATTGTTTGAAATCTGCTTCTTGGTATTAATCAAATATTTTTGAATAGCAAGAAAAATTTGAATGTGTGAAGAAGGTAAATTCAGGGGTTCGTGTTTCAAAAATCTGATTATTGATGAAAACTGATTAGTTGAAATGCATTTTGATATATCCCCTACCCTGCGTATGGGTATTAAGTAACCAAACGAAGCAACTGCTAGGTGTATAGTTATAATGATCAATGGTGCCTCTTTCAAAATTGTGAATGCCATAGCATCTGGCTTAAAACATGAATCAAATTCAATCACTGGAAAGTTGTTGCATAATGCTCAGGTGACCTATAAGGCCCATGGGCCTCTTTTTTGTATAAAAAGATGAAAAACATAAATATATAAATTAGCAAAATTGAGAGATATTTGAAGAGATCGTGTAAATGGAATTTACAGTTCACTTAGCAGGAATAACTAGAGAGAGTTACACAGTATATGTACATATTGTACACTCCTTGCAACATACCGCCATCGTCCGTCTAGCTGGGAACATTAACATTAAGCGTCTCCCTCTGTTGAACACGATTAAATACTTGATAAAAAGATCGTCAAATTCCAAGGTAACATTTCCTTCTTTTTCAGAATTTTGTACTTTATTAACTGAAGTGTCTCCGAGAAAGGGAAACTATGGGTGTGAGTCCTAGCTATATTAATGGGACGAACGAGGAATCCATTGAAGACTGGCTGTCAGCCCACAAACCTTCAACATCGTTAACACAAGGGTAAGATTTTATTGGCATATTTTTTTTTCATTAATCACTTTCTTCTTTATTTATTCATGTTATACTATCTATAAGTTAGATCCAGAAATCAAGATTGTTAAATTGTTGTCGTTATTAATACCAGTAGGGATTTGGCTGCAATTGTTGCAGTATATACATGTATATACAAACATGTATTTAAAATATTGAAGGACTGACTTTATATAAATTATTCTGTTCATCTAGAAAGGAATCGTTAAAAACGAAATACTGCATACCGTTTTAAGAATGCTGAATATTTCAAGAACTGTATCATATATAGATAGCACAGATATCACAAAAACAAAACCTTTCAATTCTTTAAAAAATTAAAAATATCAATTTACGTGAACATGACGAAGGACAGTTGCTTTTGGCATTGAATTACACTGAACATATGGTTTATTGAATGTCTGCATGTTTCCGTGTACGTATACAAGGTTAATTTTCACTTCATTGTTTCTATCCTCATGTTATATGTAAAAAGAATAAAATGTAACTCATTTTTCGCGTTTTTCTTTTGTTTCGTTTTGTTTGTGTAAAGGGGGGGGTCTTAAATGAAAATGGTAGCTATATCAGTGTATATATATATACTCTTTTTGAGACTGAGTGCCCTCTGTGGAAATGTGTGCACAATTTATCTATAATCTTTATCAAAATGACTTTCGGTCTGATTTATATCAGTTTTCACTGGTTCTTTTATTTACACAAAAAATCAAACTTTAAAGAGCTAGCTAGTAAAAACTCTGATTTTTATCAGACCTAGTGATTACCTAGCACTGTTGTAAATGTTTTTCTATATAAAAAAAAAAGTACCTGCACGTATATAATACCTATCTATTTATCAATCCTAGCACTCGTTGGTTGTGGGTGAGACGCAATGCTACAGAATCCGATCAGAACGCCAATCTTAAAGGTCTAAAGGAGGATTGGGACAAACTGAAACGCACTGGAAAAGTATCCAAAGAAGATATACTTCATTTGGCAAGAAAGAACAACATCACTTGTGGAAAATGGATGGTTTTTGAAAAGGTTGGGTCGGACGGTGATGAGTTATGGGCCAAGATAGCTAAGGGCGTGTCCTCCGGGGTCACGCTTTCGACCTCAGCCAAAATCAGTACCAGTCCCGGGGATCAACACGTAATCTGTTTATATAATAAAAATTTCCTTGACCAAGAGGAAGTTTTTGAAAGTGAGAAAACAATCAGAAGTTTGGGGGTTAAATCCCGACTGATATACAAGCCAGATATCTATACCCATTTGGGGTTGTATCAGAACAATAAATGGAATATCAGAGCAAGTCTGTACATCAGTAATTATGACCCTGTAAAAGAAAAGAGTAAGATTAATTGATATGAAAAGGGAAAAATAACAAAAGTCTATGTTGAGACTGTAACTCTACTGGTTTGTACTTTATAACAAAGTAAGAGAACATTAGCAGTTGTACTTGAAACTTTGTAACCACAATAAATAGAAAAATGATTCTTGATTTAGTCTCTTTTATGGCAAAATTGCAGTCAGACAACTGTAGAAGAGCTTTTTAAAAGTTCTTTTTAGTAACCATGTCTGTCTGTTACAAAGTGTCATAATATTTTCACTATTCCCTAGAAAAAGCTAAAACTAGAAACATGATAAAAATAGTAAGCTGTAAGATGGAATATGAGATTTCAAGTGAAGAGAAGAAACAAATTCTGCAATGTCTTTACAAGCGGACCATTAGCACACACCTAGCTTTATTAAAACATCAGCTGTTATATATCCCATATGCTATATACTGGTATTGGCCCCAACGCACACTTTAAAATAGCTATATATAACCAGCTCAGGAATTCTTATGGATAACATAAATGTGTTATAGTATTATTTTGCAAGTGAAAATGTATTGAATTGATGTAAAAATTGGTTTTCAAAAAAACAAAACTATTTTTGTAAGCAATCCGCCAGGAACAATTTTACTAATGATATATACTCTGTCTTTCACATCTCATATTTTTCGTAAATGATTTTTATCTTTATCAAAGCTTACAAAATGAGATATCTGTAGAACTTATGTTTATGACATTATTTCTTGAATTTTATATACATGGAAAAACCAGGCCTCTAGGAAGTCATTTCAGTTTTGTTGGAGGGGGGGTGGGCACAACCAAAATCTTACTCTTAAGTGGGAAATATCAAGCAAAAATATTTTTTTTAATTTAATGTTTAAAACGACAGACTATTATTGGAGGGGGGGGGGGCACAAGCACTTCAATAAATATGTGACAAAATAAATGAAAAATACCAGAACATCAGTTTGTAATTTTTATTTCTTTGAATCAAACATTATAATAAAATAAACGATTTCCCTCTCAAGCCTTTTTTTTTTTTTTTGTTTATATAAGTGACGAGAAAATAGTGCAGATATAGCAAATGCATATATAAAATAGTATACATTATATTATGCTCAAATATTTAGAAATCCATGATATTACATAAACAATTACAATTAAAAAAAAAAATAAAATAAAGAATTTGCTTATCAAAGGCTATATGTATTTGAATTGAAAGGCATACATATATACTAAATTAGTACTACCGTATGTTTTGCTATATGTTTTAATTCTTAATATCATGAAATATGAGATTCCATTTATAAATAACATGAAAATACTGGGCAATATTGATGCATAAAATATTGAAAAATAACAACCATAATTGTTCTTGAAAACATGAACTGTCATGAAATTGAGTCAGTAAAATTGTATACATATATGGAGAAAAAGATCAAAGTTGTTTTCAGGTAACAAAAAAAAAAGTTCCATTGGCACTCCAACATTATTTTATAAATCAACAACCAAAATAAGTAAAAAAAAATGTAAAGATAAAGCTAAGCTATAACCACAGTCAGAGAATTCAAGCATGTTCATTTACATCATTATTCAAACAAACAGAGATTATACACAACAGTTAATGATACACTTATTTGTTCAACAGCAAGAAGCATGTAGTGTAGATAATGGAGATCAATGCCCTTATGGATATATGTTTGGGACTTTTTGAAAGAACACAGCTTCATATCCATGAAATTACAATTAAGTTATCTTTGATTTAATGATTTAAATATAAAATAAAAAAGCTGCATTTAAATTACAAGCATTGTGTTTTTAGATGTCATGATTGTACTGGTTATCTCTTTATGAGAAAAGATGTGATTGTAGAGTTTTTAGTTTTATTGTGAAAACATTACTGTAAACCAAATTTAAATACATGCAAAATTATCTGTACACGCATGTCAGGTGAACATGCTTTAATTCCAAACCATTAGTAAATCTTGTAATGTAGGCATATTCATATAAAATTAAGATGCTTTTATGCAGAAAAAAATGGATGCCGGAGCAAATGCAAAAAAATTGTTTTCTGTTTTTGCCCAACTCTGACATACCCCAGTATGTTACAAGATGGGAGAATTCTCAAATCATGTTTTAATTTATTGGAAACACTGGAATATCATAAATACTCGCATGCAACAAAATAATAATAAAATTTCATCAAAATTACCGGTATTCTTCCAATAATAATAAATAAGACGACCAATATTATTTTTTTCACACTTCAAGACATAGGTTTATGCACCAACATGTCCAAAAATGACTTTCAATTAATGAAGCATTAGAAAAAAATAATCAGTGTTTGACATTGTTTTTCAAAATAAAAAATCGTAACAATTTAATTTTTTTTCAAAACAAATAATCATAATAATCTAAATGTCAAGGTATGACATACTGAAATTAAACAGTACCCAAATCAATTGACAAAAAGGGGGGAGATTGAATGCTTTCATAAACACATATGAGAAACTTAAGACAGCCCTGATAAATTAACTTTTCTGTGAAATGTACAAAGAAATAAAAGAAAATCCATTTCATTCAACAGAAAAATACATGTTTATACAGTTAACTGTTTGATTAAACATAGTAATTTTAACAGGCTTATATATATGTTAGTAAATGTACCATATGGTCCCAGATTAAATGTGCTTGCTTTCTTTCTTCACTGGTTTTCGAGTTTCTGGTGCTGGGTGATAAAGTTTAGCAGATCTATCCTTGTGGCAATGCCAAAAATCATCTGTTTCTTAGACATGAAGTTATTACCTTCATCTGAAAATAAAATAAAACATGCACCTCACTGATATTCAATTCTAATTAAGACACAATTATTAATTCTTTGTGTTCCCTGCTTAAAGACGTACAACACACTGGGGGAGATAACTCTTGCGATTTCAATTGAACGTTTGACGTGACGTCAAATTTAACGTAAAAAAATAAAGCGTCAAAACGACGAGTAAAACGAGCACCTGTAAATCAATCATAAAATAAATTGGGATATGGGGCTTGGCTGTGAAGTCATACATGAGTGAAATATAATTTTTTAATTAATCCGAAAACTCCGTAAAAAGCAAGACATAAAATACCATCCCTTAATGTTTATTTCATTTCATTTTTTATACAATAAATTGTATTTTTTATCAAAGTGCAGCATTTTTTTTATTCTGAAAATTTTATTTTACATTGCCGAAATTCTCAATGTACAATTGGCTATATAACATTGCGATTAATGGTCTTCATTACAATTTGTGCATTTACGATATAAATATTGTTTTTCTTCTTTAATTAAATAAAAAAACAATAAATAAACAAAAAAAATATTTTTACAATGTAAAATCGATTTTTGTTCTCATGATCAACAGACTGGACACAAGGGTTAAAATGTAGGAAAATACAACCTTTAATTTTTATTTATTCACCGGTTTTCCACAAAATCAGATACATTTACAGCAAGACCTGATTTTTTAAACAAAAAATCAATTTTTTAAATCTCTCATATACACAATGTAATGTGTGTTATAGAATTGAAAAGAATTGTTCTCTTGTACTGAAATAATAATTGCATTCATAAAATGAATATCCTATTTCAGCAAATCGTTTGACTTTCTGTCAACAATGTCGGTTCGCATTTCCTCGAATCAAAACAGAACGTAGACTATAAGAGTTTTTTGAAAAATATCAAAGTGCTGTTTGATATAAATTGAAATAGAATGGAAAATGGGTTTAATGTGTTGATATTTTGAAGTTAATGTGGAGGAATTACCAGGTTAATTTTTAGGTTAACTTTAGAAGCGACGACATTGAAAGAAATGCGTTACAATATCACAAGGGGTGTACATCTATACAAATGTCGATGTATCCCCACGGCCACATACTGTCTCGTTTGAAATAATGACATGAAAGAAACTACAATTATTCCATTTATATCACAGGAGAGTTGAGCATACACCATTTTTTTAATGAATAAAACTAAAGAAATAAAATTAAAAATCAACATATTCAAGTTCAACAAAACTTGAATTCGTATCCAGGTTTCATGTGATATGGAATGCATAACGCATATATATATGGACTAAACACTAAAATCCTTCAGTAATTTTTTCCTGATACATATAAAAAGAGTAGTCAATATTTATTTATTCTGCATTCATGAATTTAAAAACTAATGCATACCTCCGGGATTCAAATGACGAAATACCAGTATATTTGAACTGTAAACGACGTTTCGTCAAACGCTAATGGTCTGCGACGCAAAAAAGGAAGGGGTGGGGGTGATAGGGGTACTCAAAAATTGCCTAAAAATCTACATTTAAATACGCTTTACATATGAGAACTTTTAAATTTGTAAGTTAATATATTTCTGAAGCAAAAGCAGTATTCCAATTTAATTTTTTAAATGTGCATTTGTAGATTCATATAACAAAGTGATCGACCCCGGCCTGAAAGACGCGCGGGAATGTGATTTATTGAGAAAGGGGGAGGGGGTAATTTTCCGCTATTAAATCAAAACTGGTCGTACAAAAATTATACAAAAAATTGTGAAGATTATCTTTACTACCAGCTACCTAAAGAAAGTTTTTTACCAAAATTAAACGACAGGTTTTTTCACAAAAAAATTTTGAATTTGAAATATACGCAATTTTCAAGGCTTAGATAATTCATAGTTTTTCAGTTTAAGGTCTTTAAAAATTATTTTGATGATATTTATATCAAAAAGATGACTATGTTTTTGTGTTAAATGGTTAAAGGAATAAGCCAATGAAATTTGACATTTATATCTAACCTGGCTTTTTTGAAAATCAAGGTTTAAGTAGTTCATTGATTAAACATTTTCTCTCCTTGTAAACAACTAAAGGGGGGTAACTTTTGGAAATTCCTGTCCAAAAACCACTCGAACGATTTTGTCCAAAATGTGCATACCTGCAGTAGATATAGTCATGTACTATATATACAAAAATATTGCAAAATTAAACGACAGGAATTTTTTGGGGTAGGTGTGTTGTACATCCTTAAGGATAAAGAAGAATGTGAAAGAACTGGTAAAAAGAAAAAAAAACTTGACCTTTCAGTTTTTGGTTTTAGAGTTTTTTTTATAGTTTTTTAGTAAAAGTTTTCAGAACTTTTTGTTTCATTGTAAAAAGGTCAAGGAACTAAAGTTAGCACCTTTGAATGATCTCAAAATAAATCTAGGAATCTTTTGAAGTCATACTGAGTGAAATATAAAATTTCATTTCAAAACCTAAAATGATGCAGAGTTATCATGAGGAAACCATTTATGTGATAAATAAATTTTGGCCTTTTGAAACCAATTTTTTTTTTTAATTTTGAAACCACATTTTTTTACACTGTGAACCTGAATTTTTTATCTAAAAATTAAAACTGTCTTCTTTAATTCACCTGGACTTCGAATATAATGCTGAAAAAGCTAAAAGAGAACTATACATTTATTATCTGGAAACCATTTTTTGCTATATACTGCAGATCACTAAATTTTCGCGATACTTTATTTTCGCGAGATTAAAAAATGCTGGCCTTAGTAAGCGAGACATAATTTTCACAAATAGTTGTTATTCCTCTATATAATCCTAAGGAATACTTTTATACCCGAGAATTAAATTTTCGCGAACGCATTGTCACACGTAATTACGCGAAAATAAAGTTCTCGCAAATAAAAAGTGATTTACAGTACCCAGTATAAAAACCTTTGACCTCAAAATCAAGGGGTGTCTTTAAGGTCATATAAGAAATTTTTATATAAAATTTTCATTGTGAAAGCAAAATCTCAAAAGCTGTTGAAAAAATTTTGTTTGGATATAACAGTCTTAAATACATGCAAAAAGAATGTCAATATATGACTAAATTTTATTGAGAAAACTCAAAGAAAATGAAAGTTATCAACTGGAAACCCTCTTTTTGCAATCACGGGTACTTGTGGACAGGACCTTTTTCTGTCTTAGTCCACGCTATCAGATTGACTCTGCATCTTAGTAGAATCCCACAATTTCTCCATAAACAGCATTCCAGTCAAAGCGTTGAAAAATCCTTAGGTAAATGCAACGGAAGTGCATAGAGAATATTTTACCCATCATGATAACACCTGAGAGAAATTGTTATGTCAGACCAAAACTCTCTTGGCGTACTTCCTGTCCACAAGTACCTGTGTTTGCAATGTATGAATTTCTGCAATTGCAACTTCTCGGGCCTGTTCGACTAGTGGAAAAACAACCTCGAATGTACTACATGTATGTAGATGCCAGAGCAACACCACTTTTCACTAACTTTAAAATATATGTTGAAAGACCTCTTATCTGTTGAGCATGGAGTTTAACATTATTCAATGTAACGATTTTACCTAAAATATACTATAGAAGGGACTTCTAACTCATTCTATCTCTATATTTGAATAAACAGGAAGATGTATAAATTTTTAACATCTGGTCATTGTGGTGGTATTGATACATGGGAGGTTGTTTTTCCGACCTATGACGAAAAGAACTGAAATGATGCAACTTTGAGTTTCTGATCTAAACACACTGACGTAAAAAATTATAGAAATCTTCTTTAGGTCATATGGAGTTGTGGTATATAACTCATTCCAAAAGCTCAAAGGTTTTAAAGACATCATATGGAAAAGAAAGTATTATACAAAGACAGAAAGTGTAAGTTTCTGACCTTGACTTTTGATCCCTTTACCTAAAAATTTAATGGTTTTAAAAGGCTATAGGGAGTTGTGAAATAAATTTCATTACAAAAGCTCAAAGGCTTTTTCAAAATATCCTTCAGAAAAGAAAGTGTTACACCCAGACAGATGCAAATTAATACCCCTCATTTTCATTAAAAGTGCAGGACAAAAATATAGCTAAACCTGATAAACTTACATTGTCTTTGTCCATGAACAACCAAAACAAAGTGGTCAGTATCAAGCATTCTTGAAATTTCTCCTAAGCTTGTTGCCATGGATACCTGAAAATGTACAAAAAGTGGTCAGAAATTATTTCATATGCATCAATATTGTATAAAAAAAACAAGAAAACCGAATTATTCCTACCATTTTAAATTGTTTGTACATGACTTTAGAAACAGGATCTGAAGGTTTGATCTTTGACCTCACGACCTGAGCCATCATATTACCAACTGTCACCATACCCATGATGTCCCTGGACAGAAAAAGAAACCTTGGTTTAATTCAAAGTCAGAGTCTGAAATTAACTTGATTGCATATGTCTATGATCACATTGAGTAGTGTGTCCTACAAGTTTGGAAAAGCTTTCTTTGAAAATAAAAGCAATCTGTTTTGCTTGGATTTGTTTTTTTTTTTTTTTTGCTTACCCTGCATCGTTCACTACTGGCACTTGGTCAAAACCCTCTTTGTTGAGAAGATCAAGCGTCTCCTGGATCGTGACTGCTGGAGTCACAGTCAGAGGAGCTCTTAACTGAAGAGCACTCACATTTAATGAGGACCACCTTCAAAAGACACAATATTGTAACAGAGTTATTTTATCAATTGTAGATTTTCATAATCTTTTACTTGTTCATTCAAATAAAAAATAAAATGCAATAAAAAAAGGAACCATGAAACAGTTGTGAATTAAAATAGATGATACATATATACATGCACCATTTAGCACACCATTAGAGCACAGTGTTAATGTTATCCATAGTGATCAGCGGTCACATTTTAGTTTGTGCAGGATGGATGAAAATGAATGAAGTTAACACCATCTCATGAATTTGAAATTTAATAGCTGACATGAGGTTTAATTCATTCAACTACAAAGTTCAGTTTTAATATCATGAAATTTTATTTCATTAATTGTTCATTTAAATATTGCTTATTAGAGTCTAAATCAAATTAAAGAAACAAACTTAACAATGTAACTGTTACAATTCCTTACAACTCATCAATATTACTGAAATTTAAAAAATAAAGGCAAATAGCTCCAAAAAAATATTGCTGAGCTTACAACTGTAAAATGTACATGCTTACAATTAATGAAAAAAAAACTGAAGCAAACCAATTCAAAGAATTTGTGTCTCCTGATTTAGGAAAAAAGACTTTTTGAAAGTGAGAGACAAGAATTGGTACAAAATTATGGAAATAAAAAATTGTCAATGCAAAGCAAAAGCATGTCATATATGCATGAAACCTCTAATTTAATAATTGTTCATCAGAATCTGACAAGCTAAGGTCCTAAATGTCTTCTTTAATAACCTTAGTCTTGTTGTTTTTTCCAAAATTTTAGAATCAATGCAGATGAAAAGTTTTTGGCCCAGGAAGCAAGTAATTATCAACAAAAGGGTTACAAGAGAGAAAAAAAATTTCTTATTCTTGTCAAATGTAATACAGGAAAACTGAATCTAAGAGGAACAGTTCATGTTTTCATGAAAAACAAAACTCCCAAACAAATGAAATGATGAAACAAGAGAATGTTGAAGGTGCCATTGCCTAAATATTTAAAAATATTAATTCAAGTAATTTGCACTTAAAAGTGTTTTATAAGTTTTATTACTTAAATTTATCTTTATCAGTATACACAACATTATCTCACATTTATGAAAGAGTGCAAAGTATGATTGTACAATTACACCCAACAATGCTGACCTGTTCTTTCCATATGAACTGTCAGAAAAATTGAAATTAAAAAAAAATATATTAAAGTGCAATCTGAAAGGTCAGATAAAAGGTTTTTTTAATAAAAGATATTCAATTTACTTCATTTTTAATACTATATTAAGTGCAAGTTATCTGGAAGTTAAGAAAATGTCTACTTAGGCCTTATAAAGTTTCTTTGATTTTAAGCATTACAAAATTTTCAATTAACATTAAGTCCGTCCAACCCTCTTTTTATTTTATTATTGTTATGTGATTATATAAAGTGATTTGTTTTTAGTCCCCAAAGAATTTTGCCTATAATTATTTTTCGCAATAAATACACACTAACATGCTAATATCTAAGCATAATGAGGACATACCATTCCTCTGCATCCTTTGTTAATTTGCTGGACTCAAGGAATTCCCTCTGACTCATCCAATCATCACTCAGAAACTTGGTCCTAAAAATAGACAAAAATTAGAATGATTTCTCACCACCATTTCAAATCATTTCCTGATTTTATATAACTCCACAACATAATCTCCCTTTCTCTAAGAAAATGTATATGTTTGTGTCATATGAGTACTAACACTATTCCAAATGCTTAACTATTCATACTTTTCATAATGATTACAAATAAAAAGCACTAACTTCTTGCACCAAGGAACAAGAGTGTAAAAGAGATTTATATCTACTAATTACTGTGAAATCACTAATTTTCATGGGGGTTTGTTGCTTTTGAAGGATGATGAGTCCCACAAATTCATGACCACCACGAAATGTAAAATTTAATAAGCATTGCTACTCAACACCTCTCCAACCACAATATCAAATCCCCCAAATTTGCCCCCCCCCCCCCCCCCCCCCCCCCCCGAAAATATGTGATTTTACAGTATTAAATAGAAAAAAGTTTACACTGTACAAATTAGATTATTGCAGTAAATACTGGAGTATAGTAAGACTTACATATAGTTCCTGATGGAGTCGGGCAGAATCACCACACATCTCTGTCCCTCCTTCAGCCCAAAGTCCTTCGCTGCCTTAATGGCAATAGACATTGCTGAACCAGAGCTCCCACCTACATGTATCCATTCACAAAAGTATAATGTTTATAGTATCTACACACATTTCCACTTATTCAACTGTTAGGCTGTTTGCAATAATGGAACTGCATATTGTCACTGATTCTAAGGAAAAATTGTCTTTGAACTCTCTTGGTTGAATAAACTGCATTGCATTCCCAAGTCTTATCCATTCATAAGGAATGAATGTCACATAATCAATTTTGGTTTTTCTTAACACAAAATATTATTAATTGGAAAATGGTGTTCTTTCCGTTATACAGGGATGAAGAGAAACATGTGATATTATAATCATTTTAGGTAAAAAAAAAAATCTTTTGGATTCTAAGTAAAAATACAATTGCTTCTTCCAACAGTCTTCTTTTGTTCAGAATAAAATAGTGCATTTTATATTATGTCAGTGTTGATGTACAGTATAAATACTTACCACAAAGTAGCCCTTCCTCCCTTATCATTCGTCTAGCCATGATGAAAGATTCCTTATCATTGGACTTGTACCATTTATCAACCAGCTAAAAATTATTTTAAAAATAACACTACACATAAAGTTTAAACTCTCTATTTCCTTTACAATATAGAATTTACCACATAATCAACGACTACACTTCTCTGAAAATCAAGTACAAATTCAAAACACACAATACATATTCATAACTTAAAGTTAAGTACAAAATGAAATAAAGAAAACGTCGGTTATTCGCTCAATCTATATAGCTGGGGATCCAGGACAACTTCACTTTATTCATGAATTTGCAATATCGGTGCTTGTAAATAACAAGTTTTTTCTGTACAAACTTTAAATAAAGTTCTGATATAAATATGCTTAGCAGTTATGTTCCCGGTACCTTTCTGTCACACACGGTGGGGATAAAATCATACCCCACACCCTCCACCTCGTAGAATGTGGTGTCTAACTTGTTCAGGGACTCTGGTTCTGCAATAACAGACCCCTCTGGATCTAAACCAATGACCTGTTTGAACAAAAATTAACATACAATAATCTGGCACAAATTTAAAACAAGAGGCCCAGGGGCCACAGCGCTCACCTGAGCACATCGGGCTTGAATTTATCCCCCCCCCCCCTCCAGGCGTTCATCATTTGAACAAATTAGAATCTACACTACCTGAGGATGATTCCATATAAATATCACTAATCATAGCTTTGAAGTACTTGAAAAGAAGATTTTAAAAAGTTTCCCTATATATCCCTATGTAAAACTTGGGTCGGCCATTTTGGCCCCACCCTAGCCCCGGGGGTCATGATTTGAACAAACTTGAATCTACACTACCTGAGGATGATTACACATGAGTTTCATCTTTCCTGGCCCAGTGGTTCTCGAGAAGAAGATTTTTAAAGATTTTTCTAATATATTCCTATGTAAAACAAGGGTCGGCCATTTTGGCCCCACCCTTGCCCCGGGGGTCATGATTTGAACAAACTTGAATCTGCACTACCTGAGGATGATTCCACATGAGTTTCATCTTTCCTGGCCCAGTGGTTCTGAAAGAAAATTTTAAAAGATTTTTCTAATATATTCCTATGTAAAACAAGGGTCGGCCATTTTAGCCCCACCTTTGCCCCGGGGGTCATAATTTGAACAAAACTTGAATCTACACTACCTGAGGATGATTCCACATGAGTTTCATCTTTCCTGGCCCAGTGGTTCTTGAGAAGAAGATTTTTAAAGAATTTTCCTAAAATTCCTATGTAAAACAAGGGTCGGCCAGTTTGGCCCCACCCTTGCCCCGGGGGTCAAGATATGAACAAACTTGAATCTACACTACCTGAGGATGATTCCACGAGTTTCATCTTTCCTGGCCCAGTGGTTCTGGAGAAGAAGATTTTTAAAGATTTTTCCTATATATTCCTATGTAAAACAAGGGTCGGCCATTTTGGCCCCACCCTTGCCCCGGGGGTCATGATATGAACAAACTTGAATCTACACTACCTGAGGATGCTTCCACATGAGTTTCATCTTTCTTGGCCCAGCGGTTCTGGAGAAGAAGATTTTTTTAAAATGCCATTAATTTTTAACAAATTCATGATTATCTCCCCTTGGAAAAGGGCGCGGCCCTTCATTTGAACAAACTTGAATCCCCTTCACCCAAGGATACTCTGTGCCAAGTTTGGTTGAAATTGGCCCAGTCGTTCTTGAGAAGAAGATGAAAATGTGAAAAGTTTACAACGACGACAACAACAACAACAACGACAACGACGACAGACGACGGACAAATTTTGATCAGAAAAGCTCACTTGAGCCTTCGGCTCAGGTGAGCTAAAAAACAGAAATTCTTTGCCATCATTACTTTTAAATATTTGTACACTGATTTGGATCATTTAATAAAGTTAGGAGTATAATAAGTTAAAAGTAATTTTGAATTTTCTGAAACCAACACGATAAGTTCATTATGGTCCAAAATTACTTTTAACCTGCCTCTGTGTTTAAGTTTCCTAAATTTTTCCTTCTGCAGTACCTTAATAATACTGTGCACAGTATGATGTCTTGTCTTGTTCACTGTCACTTATACTAATGCACTTGCAATCATTTTATGATCAATACAGGTACATGTACTTACTTTACAGTTGGGACATCTGAGCTTTATTTTACGTGCGACTCCAGTGAGAGTTCCACCTGTACCAGCACCCACTACCACCATATCTACTCTGTCTGTAACAAACAAGGCAGTAAGGATCAGATCATGCCATAGGTACATTGTACATGTTCTTAAAAAAGTAACAAATAAAAATAGATCTAACCATCCTCTTCTTGAACACAAAATGTGGTATTTATACTGACCATCACAAGACTGGAGAATTTCCTCAGCAGTGCCATCAAAGTGAGCCAGGGGATTGCTTGCATTACGATACTGAAATTAATAATACACAGTGTTGATGATGGTATGTTATTTGTGACTCAAGACCTCTTACATGGTAATGCTTCTGTCTAGTTCTTTTTAGAAATAAGCTAATTAAGACCGATACAATTCAGAAATATTTCTCTTTTTATTGATTGAAAATATATTGCACTTGAAAATTTAGTCAAATCATCATCATAGATTAATAGCTTAAATAAATAATGCAGATAAATTTAATATGCAATTGTCATGAACATATCAATAACAAGTTTACCTGATCAAGAATGTGTGAGTTGGGAATTTCCTCCATCAGTCTTTTAGCCACCCCAATGTGAGACTCCGGGGAATCAAAGGCGGCACTGGTGGGAGTTCTCACAATTTCGGCACCAAGAGCTCGCAAGACATCAACCTATACAATGCATTAATTCAGCTAGATATTAATAATTTCTTAACTTTTTCTCTGCTCTGAAAACAGTCCTTTTTTAAATTATAAAAAAAACTATGGCCTTTGCATCCGGGCCAAAAAGAATGATATAGCACATATGATCTATGTTTTGTGTATCCAAAAGAGCACTTTTTAGCTTAAAATTAAACTTAACTTCAACAAATGTTTGAGCAGCAACCTCAAATTTTCAAAATGAAAAGTGAAAATAAAGAAATTGTCTATAGCCTTGAGTACTTCATTCATTTAACATGGAACATGCATTTGACTTTAAAAGTCATTACCTTTTCCATACTCATTTTTTCAGGCATCACAATTATGCATCTATATCCTTTCACAGCAGCGGCCAAGGCAATACCAATACCTGAAACCCAAAGTCAGGTCAAATGGATTAAATACTTATAATTTTTCCAACCCCTCATAACGAATCAGTACTATTGTAATATATGTAATGTGCAAATAGGTAACACATTTCTCTACTTGACTCTTGCAGATTTATGATAAACCAGAGAAATTTTAAGTCACTAAAAATCTTCTTCAATGTAAAGTAGTTAGGAAGTTGTAGATCAGCACTAGATCTGACCTGTGTTGCCTGAGGTTGGCTCTATGAGGACGTCCCCGGGTTTTAGGTGACCTGCTGCCTCAGCATCCTCTATCATCCTCAGTCCTATCCTGTCCTTCACACTCCCACCAGCATTGAAAAATTCACACTTAGCATCTAAAAAAACATTAAGAAAAAACTTCACATAAAAAATACATACAGCATCTAAAAAATTCAAATCCAGTAGATGAAAACTTCAAACAAAAGATAATACATGTATATAAAAGGATAAAGCATGTAGGTTCATCAATTAAAACTCTCAAAAGACGAAAGATAAAAGCATTAATCAAAAGTCATTGGAAACTGCATTTTGCAGAGCCATTTACAATCTACAGTGTACTTACATTTATATCATATTTCATGTGCATATGAATTAAATTCATTTCCTTGAGTGATACAGATTATACATTGAGTAAAACTTAGTGATTCCCTAAAACTCTGACTTTAGTACAAGTATTATATATTACTCACAAATATCACACTGGACATCTTCTTCCTTTGTTATTCTGTTGATTCTCACCAGTGGAGTGTTACCAATATTGTACAGGACATTGGGCATTATCTTTGGTTTGGGTTTTCTAAATGGAAATTACAAGTACAGTATGCAGTTGCTTGTATTAAAACTATAGGAATCATTAAAGGGTGAACATGGTAAATACAACATTTATTTAGGTAAATAAAATCTTTGAATCTTGATTAAAGTGGTCTTGACAGAAATACAAAATCATGAAAATGTTATTCATATTAATATTATGAAGAAAGATTCCACTTGGTGACAATTATTTCTTTTATAATGACATATGGTGGATGAACCAGATTTCATGCTTACAACTCCTTGTGGTTGTGAGGGGAGTCTTTCATGGACTTAGCCTCGTAGTATGTGCATTTACTGGGCAGGTCTGGTCTCTGCCAATTACGGAAAGGGCTGCTACCAGCTGCGGGACATTTCTTCTCAGACATTGTTACCTTAAATAGAGCATTAAATTTATATAATCGAGCAATTTAAATTAGGTAGTCTAGTCTTTGAAAATAAATCCAAGCAAAGAGGCCAATGGACCAAAATGCTCAACTGCACGAGTTAGCTTAGCCTTAGTTTTCCATTGGCAGTTTTTTTCCTGATAGGTAATGTCCTTATCTAATTTTTTGATTGCCTGTTGTGGCTTTATCCCACCCCCCAGTAGCCCTGATTTGAAAAAAAAAAATGAATCTAAACAAGTGACTTTATGCTTTTACATTAATATGCCTTGATTAATCATAACTTTGAGCTTCATAAAAAGAAGATATTTAAAGATTTCATAAGTAAAACTTTGATCCCCAATTTCTCTTACCCCCCCTCCTAAGTCATGATTTGAATATACTTGAGTCGTAACATATACTATATCAGGATGTTTTCAGAGGAAGATTACTCATTTATGTACTTTTTTTGAGAAGAAGATTTTAAATGAATATTTCCTATTTTTCATTGAAAAATTTGATTATCCATTGTGTCCCCACCTTACCACGGAGGCTGAATATATAATTTATAAATCTAAAGTTCTAAACTTTTCTCTATATATGTCAGGAAACTTTGAATTCACATATTACAAGTTTATTCATTTCTAATCAAGTGGTTCTTCGTCAGATTTTTGAAGACTTCCACCAAAGTTTTATTGACTTTATATGGCAAGATTTCCCAAATCACTTGTTGTGACACTGATCTGAGATTTATGGTCAGTACAATTTTTTTAATCTCAACAAATATTTGTTGGTGAATGTGATTATACTATAACTACGATACACTTGAGAAGAGTGTTCTGACGGGTTAAAAGAGGAAAGTGAGAGAAAGTAGAAAAAACAATAGAATGAAAAGGAAATAGTAGAGAAACAGTATTCACACCCCCTTCAAATTTTTTGGAGTTAAATATGTAGTCACAGACAATAATTTATAAAATATCTTTTATGTCTCTGATATCCTAGTAAAGTACATCCAAAAAAAAAAAATCTTTATCTGAGTCGATATCGACTTACGTGTTCAAGAATCTTGTTCCAAATTACGCACTTAGGACCCTACCTGATTTTACTCAATACTGAAAGATGAAGTGGAAGAATAACGATATGTTGTCCAACAAATAGGCCAATCCTCCAAGATTTGCAAATTCGATTGGACGAAATATATTTACCCACTACGTTGTAATCGTCTAACCTTCACCTTTAGGAAGTCAGCTAAGGCGAAACAGTGGGAACTAATTACCCTGAAGTTACATGGATACCTGTGGTTCGGGATAAAGTAATGCATTTACCAGATGTTCTATATAATATATTTATTACAGCATTATTTAAGTTAAGTTATAAATATTCATTCAAATTTAATCTTGAGTCCATTTGGGTTTCTTTTTTGGTAAATCGGGGCTTTCCGAATACGCTGATGTACGACTCACTAGACTCTTTATATGATCCCCGCACGGGGAAAAATAAACAGTTGAATTTCGTCTGCTGAAGTGGAAATGTTACTAAATTTGCTGACTTTCTTCGTAATAATTCATGGTAAGAAACATACCTCATTGTGTGTTATTTTGTTTTGTTACTTTTTTGAAAATTGCATACGATAAAACCCAAAATGATAACCCAATAGTAATAACTAGGCCTAAAACCAGTAGGCCTAGCCTTCTGAATATCGAAAATTTTTATTTGTTTGTGTTTTGTTCAAGAAACCCCTATTTTCACTGCATTTGTTTTGTTATAAATTAGACCTATTGTTCTATTTCTTAATAAATAAGGTTTATGTTCGAACACATGCACATGTTCTGTAATAATTACAATAAAAAATTAAATGAATTAGACAGTATCCTCCCTCTATTCTCTAAATAGAAATTATATGGAGAGGCATATGGATTTAAGCTTTTGATACATGTGCACTTCTCTAAAGAGAAATCTGGTCCTCCATGTACTTTTGGAATAGGGAATGTCCTCTCAAAATTATGTTGTACATACCACAAAGCTTGACAGCTAGTATGTACCTAAAATCAATAATTTTATTCTCCCCTCCCCATCTCTCTTCTTCAGGCTCATTTTGTAGTTCTGTTTTGAGAAGAAAATATTAGATGCATCGGTGTAGCCTGATGATCAAAGTCTAAGCTGATCAATATGATAATTTCTAGAATGATCTGATGTCATTTGAAATGGTGATTTAAACTGTACCATGTTTACAGTAAATAACTGCATTATGCATCTCACCAAATTATATGCATATGGTAAAGATACATAATAGTCTTTTGTTGCCCTTGTGTGGCAGTGGTAAGAGTATTTGCTGGAGTTGCGAAGTAAGGAATTGATCCTTATGTCACAGGTTCAGATCCCAAAGAAAAAGATCCCTCACTGCTTAATGGCCCTGAGTGCAGAGTATCTGTAGCTATATAAGACAAAATTTGCAGTTATCCACTGGCAAATGGTGGCGCTGAACAAATCTCATAAGGGACATTAAACAGTATACAAACAAACAAAACATAATAGTTTTATTCAATGAAGTTGCATTTCACACAGAGGTCTTTACTTTGCACTTGCATACATGCCAACTTTCCCGATTTAGGCGGGATCCTCCCGATTTTACCCTTTCATCCCGCCTTCCCGATCAGGAGAGAAAAATTGCCCTAATTTCCCAATTTGTAAAAATTCACCCAAAATTTCCGATTTTATAAGTTTCCCTATACCGCTGAATTTTGTCAATTGGGATAACAATATCAGACTTGTTTATTCAATGCACACAGATAAGTTTCATTGTTTATTTAGGTGTTAATCAGCCACAGGAAATCACTTCACGCTTGAACGCATGTCCAGGTACAGGTAGCTTATAGCTTGGGGCAGTTAATTAGGGGATTGTCTTTTCAGTTAAAAGGGTACGCAAGGTGAAACACATAATAATTGTTAGTCATTTTATTGAAAACATAAATTAAAGACAACTAAATAATAACTAGCTGCAGATCTGTAGCGTTATGGTTTTATATATTTGTCTTTGACCATAACGCTACAGATCCCTTAGTGCAAAAAAGGTGCAATTTACGGCGCAATATTTTTTGCGCACTTTTGGGGAGAATTTCTCCACTTCCTAGCTTTGGTCAATCAACTACCTTTCACTTTCTAATTCTAGACACATTCTGTAGCCAATATGTATAGTTTATCCACCTCCCAACCATTTATAGTTGCATGTCTCTACAGGCAATAAAGCTGGATATGAATTTTCAGATAAATTTAACAAATAATTTTAATCAAGCGAGTTTATCACTTGTAGAGACGACTATAAAGGGTTGGGAGATGGATAAAATATACAGATTAATTAAATAATGTGTCTAGAATTAGGGGTTGAAAGGTAGTTGATTGAACGATGCTGAAAAGTGGAGAAATTCTCCCCAAAATAGCGCAAAAAATATTGCTCCGTAAATTGCACCTTTTTTGCACTACGGGATCTGTAGCGTTATGGTCAAAGACAAATATATAAAACCATAACGCTACAGATCTGCAGCTAAATAATAACCAAACCATAAAATTGGAATCCAAAGAGATCGTTATTTGAAAACGAAAGTAGAAAACTACAAAGCATAGCTGCTGACTTTATCTACCTATAATTAAAAAATATTGTAAAGTTTGCCAGTTAAGGTTATCCGATCCTCAGGTTCCGAAAATCAGGCATTAAGTAATTGAAAATGCTCACAAAGACGTCTCTAAATTCTCAAATTAAAATGTATTTACCCACGGTGTTTCTTTAAATTTCATCTTTAAATTTAATCATATTATATAGGGAAAATTAGTAAATCTCAAATATTTTTTTCAGGAAATGCGATTTGAACTACCTACTGCATATTTTTTAATTGATAATTGATCAAGAAATACATTTTAGGAATATAAATCATAGGTATCCAGGCTTTTAAAGAAAATTGCATGAATTTTACACTTATTTAGTACTTTACTTTCTCTTTCTTACTTCCATCGTTTCATAATGCATAGTGTATGAAGTGTTTCCTTTCAAAGAAAACACCGTAAATCACTTCTAATTTCAAATCATGCTTATAAACATTGGTAACTAAGGCTAAATTAAAAGAAATTTGATTTCTTTAAAATATGCAAGGTTTATTTAATGTTATGAGGTACAAAAGTCAAATTTTTTTTATACCGTTTGTTAAAACTTTAAAGAGCATTGAATCATACGTAGAGGCATAAAATGAAAATTGTTGCATAAAAAAATTTCAATTTCAAGCTTTATTTAAAGACTTTTTGAATTAAATTATAAATTTAGGAGTTATCCTTCCTGGCTGAGGATCGTATATCCTTAAAATAACATGAAAAAAATCCTGATGAAATAATAAAGTCTGTGTCAATTAGAATTTCTTTTCCCTCCCTTCTCCCAAAAGTAATTAATATTGTATGCATAAGTGACTACGAAATACCCACATAGCACCATCAAGCCTGCCAAAGTTTGACTGTAAAAAAAATAATTTTCCCAGGATAGGTGGTATCTTTGTGTTAGAAAATTGATGATTTAATTCTTCAAACCTGATGGTTTATTTCTTTGAATTGTTTTGTGTGTGACATAAAATTAAGTGTTTTAATGATATGTAACAGGAAAGGAGAAAATGCATGGCTGGACCGGGAATCGAACCTGGGACCCCTGTATCTCTAGTCAGGTGCTCTACCAACTGAGCTGTCCAGGCCGATATCCACGGCCCAAACCATTACATTCCTCCCTCCTTAAATGGTCTTCGTCCTCGAAGACACAACCCAAGTTCTTATTGCCCCTGGCAGGACTTTCACCTGCAATTCCAGGGGTGGTCAACGACACCAAATCTGTAACAGGGAAGGAGAAAATGCATGGCTGGACCGGGAATCGAACCTGGGACCCCTGTATCTCTAGTCAGGTGCTCTACCAACTGAGCTATCCAGGCCGATATCCACAACCCAAACCATTACATTCCTCCCTCCTTAAACAGTCTTCGACCTCGAAGACACAAGTTGTAGGGCCCTGTCAGGAATTACTAATTTACACATACACTGTAACCTGAACAAGGCACCAAATGTAATGGGAGAGGAGAAAATGCAGCGGACCAGACCGGGATTCGAACCCGGGCCCCCTGAAACTCCAGTCAGGTGCTCTACCAACTGAGCTATCTGGCCAACAGGTTCGAATCCCGGTCTGGTCCGCTGCATTTTCTCCTCTTCCGTTACATTTGGTGCCGTGCCATGCCCTGGAATTGACAGGTGAAAGACCTGACAGGGATTCTGGGTTGGGGTCTTTGGAGGGCCAAAGACCTTTAAGGAGGGAGGAATGTGGCGGTCAGCCGGGTTCGATCGCCGGTGGCCAGATAGCTCAGTTGGTAGAGCACCTGACCGGAGTTTCAGGGGGCCCGGGTTCGGATCCCGGTCTGGTCCGCTGCATTTTCTCCTCTCCCATTACAGATAAATGTACATACCATGAGGAACAAACTTTCTCATCTCCCACACAAAAAAATAAATGCATTGCAATTTCTCAAAATTTCTTTAAATTTAATATCTGATTAGAATTTCTAATTAATTAAAATATAAAAATCTCAAAAATGTTCCCAGAAACAGTACTTTACGTATCAAAAGTTGTACAATTTTCAATTTTTCATCAATTGAAATTATGTGTCTTAGCTTGTAAAAAAAAAGTTTACATATGTAACTAAATATCCCTTCTTTAGTGAGAGAGGCACCTATTTGAGCAAAAAATATTTCAATTTTGGAAAGAAAAACCTTATTTTTGTGTTATTTTTATCTTTTAGTAGTATTAATAAGTGATATTGATTATATTATAAATTTTAAAAAAAGGACCATGTCATAATCATTTAATTTCACGACAAAATGTTGCGAATTTAAAGCTATGAAAAATGTCGTCACGCGCAAAATCCCCCATGGGAATTTTCAAAAGTTGGCATGTATGCACTTGTCACTGCATAATTGTAACAGGTGAGCAGAAATACAAAGAATCAGGATTTGAACCCGCTCCCCCCTTGAATCTTCAGTCAGGTGCCCTTCCCACTTAGCTATCTGGCCACTGGCCATCAAACCTGTCTGAGACACAGACCATTACATTATGATATGAAGCTTTCAGGAAAAGTACACTTATATGGATGGACAGAGAGGAATACTTGGAAGGGAATGTTTACTGTTGTAGTTTTACAATGGGAATATTGATGTTAAAGCAATGGTGTTCTTATTGTATACTTATAACTTGAAAAACAGATCTGTTTAAATTTTAGAAAAAACAATGCCTCGATCTTTCTATACTTATATTGTTTCAGTTTTCCAATACACACTATAATTTACTTGACACATTGATTTCTTGCTTAGTATCAATTGTTTGTACGTATTTTAATAATAAACAAAAAGTTCATTAATCATACCAGTAAATGATCATTATTGGGCATGGTTACAGAGTGATCAAGATGTGTCAGAGTTTTTTTTCCCCCTCTAACCCCATGACACACGAGGGTAGTGGCGGGATGCACATTACCTGGGTGCATAATTGATTAATTAACAGTAGCATGCTTCTGAGTTACTTTATGATGTTCATGTTTAAAGGAGATAATCATTGGCAAATCTCTTAGGATTATTTGGTTGATGCATTTTTCATAAGGAGATCTAGTCATGGACCCCTAAAGGAAAAAAAATGTTACAGCAAAGCCTTTTGATTAAATTGATGAATTGTAGAACTGAGGAAAATTACTCTCAAAGGAATTCAGACAGATCCATCTTTAAAGAAAGAAAAATTCATACATATATATCTCATTTTTCAAATGTGTATATATTATGTTCATTATCATGGTTACATTAACGATATAGTATTGATCTTTACATTTGAAAGAGGAGATAAAGAGAAAATAAGAAAGGGAGATAATTAAGAGAGAGGGGGATAATAATGATTGAAATGAATTCATGTCCCGAGGTATAAAATAACGAGGAAGTATTCATTATCCTGAGCTTGCTCAAGTGACTAAACAGCATTTCTCAGTAATCATGAATGTCTTTTTTTCTAATCAAAAGTCAGTAAAGATGTGAAATACAATACCACATAGCAAAATTTTAAATTAAAATCATTGATGAAGATAATGCAATGTTAATTGAGAAGGACACTCCTCCTTAAAATTGTTTGGTTTACCCAATCAGATCTAGATCACTTGATCAATCATTGTGTAAACTTTAGAAAAGAAATAGAATAGAAATAATCATGTGATAAAAGAATGTGACTATTACTATTATCATTCATGTTAATTAAATTTTCATGACTCTTTAAATAATTCCATTCTTTCTGAATATGCTCCATTTAAGAGCTGAAGTGTGATGATGCTAATAATCAGCTAAATCAATATGTCTCTCTGTCTCTTCCTTCAGTGACACTGAGCCTATTGACATTGAGGGGCCCATATAACCACACTGCAGTGGTCCAGGACAATGTAACGCTGAGCTGTAAGCTGTTAAAGGATGGAGAAACTGTCATCAATCTTCATATAGTGGGAGAACCCTATAAACTGGTCTGGAATTTTACAGGTAGGAAATTAATTCTCTCAGCTACCATTTTATAAGTAGAAAATTCTCCCTAGCGTTTCCATGTATCCATCTTTTTAATAAAATCTATTTTATTTTGTGTTCTTTTATTGTTCCTATTACTGTGAAAAAATCTATTATATTATCTAGGCCATTCATCATCAGATAATTTATTAAACCACCCAATTTGGTCAAAAAAATATTCATATGTCTAAGATGTATATTCACTAGGCTTAATCATTGATTTCAAAGAAAATTTCAAAGAAAAAAAAGAATCTGCCGAAAATTAAATCTTCGAAGGATTGGATGCTTTTCATATTCTCTAAAATTTACTATTTTTCTGATTCGTAATTCATGTTTCCTTGAAATCTGAAAAGGAAGGGTGTGTAGTAGCTTCTACAAAATTGTAGCGGGATTAGTGTTCATGTACAGAACAAACACAGGTATGCCATATACTCTATGACCTCTAGCTTACATGTACTAATTCCCTTGATACAGGTAGTTATACAAGTAACAGATGTACTACTACATGTAGTATGGCCAGGGTGTGAAATATTCTTAAAATATGTAGATCCTGTCCAGTTATAAGTCAATTGTATTTTAGCACAGGGGCTTGCTCCTGGCATGTATGATTTTATTTATCTAAAAAATCATAAAAGGTAATATTACTATGATTACTGAGCAAGCCCCTGTGATCTGAGTGAGAAAATAGCTGACTAGCCATGCTCTAAATGGTTCACATAATCATTGCTAATCTAAATGTAATAGCGCCCTTATCTGAAGTGACTGTACTATGTTTTTTTATTTACCTTCAAAATGGGTAAATATATCGAATGAAAACAATATTATTTATAGTTTTAACCATGATACAACATGGACAATTAAGAATATGTACAAATATTTTAATTTAAAAATTCCATAAAATTGAAGAAGGTTTGCTATGTCACAATGATCATAGGGGCTTAATATATTCTTTGGCGAGGCTAATAGATTTATGTAAGATTGTGGAACGTGCAGACACAGACAGGGAGTGTTATATATTACATGTAGATATAAGCATTCATCTGCTCAGTATTAACATTTCTTAAAGTTATGATTTACATGTATTGTACCTGGCTGCATTATGCATGGGTAGGTTTGTTTTAAAATTGAATGGGAGTCTAAACTGTTGAAAAGTTTAAAATACATCACAAATTATGAAATAATTTAACCACTATGAAAAAGCAATAGGTAAACATAAAGTTTGTCATTCAATGAGATATTTCCTCCAGACAACTTAAAGGAAGTGAAAGCATACAGTGTAGGGACTATAAATCATTTATAGATAGAAAAGAGTTGTCTTATTTACCAGTAGTATTCCAAAATCATTGATAATTTTAGTTCACATAATCTAAAAGCTCAAGTGAGATTTTCTGATTACATTTAATTTAGTTGCCCTCATGCCGCAGTGGTTAGAGCATCTGCTCTAGAGTCACAAAGTAAGGAAATGATCCTTATGTCATAGGTTCCACTCCCACTGTGGGACGTAGAGACTGGTCCTTTGTATAAATCGAGATCCCATGTTGCAGTAGGTGCTGGCATGAAAAAGATCCCTCACTTTAAATAAGTATAGGACAAAATTTGCAGCTCCGCCTATGTGCCATTTTCATATGAATGAAAAATGATTGAGAGGGATGTTAAACAACATACAAACAAACTTGCAAACAAAACTGAATACATTTTGTCTAGCATCTGATTTTTCTGCCCATTTGTCTGCATACTTTTCACAGAGTTGAAGTCTTGAAAACTCAGTTAAGAATGACTAGTGATGACCCAATTTCTACCAAACTTTTTACAAAGTATATCTTTGGAGAAAGGGTATTTAATTTTGTTTTTAAAAATGCACCCTTTTTCAAGGAGAGATAAGGAATTTATTTAGTAAAAAATTAGTGCATAAGCTTTATTCAGAAAAACCAATGGGCCAAAAATATCATGACCTCTGGGGGTAAGGTAGGGTGGGTCTTAATGGGCAATCAGAGTTATAGAATATGTAAGAAATATTTGGGAAACCCGATAAATTTTAAAATTTTCTTTTCAAGAAAAGCAAAATCATGATTAGTCTTATTAAAATGAAAGCATCCTGTACGTTGAAGTTTACAGTTCAAATCATGTCCCTCAGGTACTGTAAATCACTTTTTATTCGCGAGAACTTTATTTTCACGTTATTACGCAAGACAGTAAGCACGCAAAAAATTCATTCTCGCGTATAATAGTATTCCTTAAGATTATATAAAGAAATATTAACAATTCATGAAAATTATGTCTCGCTTATAAAGAGTCAATGACTATCTCGCGAAAATAAGGTGTCACGAAAATTAAGTGATCTACAGTATACTATGGGTTCACAATGATAGTGGTAATATTTTTGTTAAGGACATTATGAACTTAAAAAGGAAAAAAAGACCTATGTTGTCCTTAGTGTACATGTACATCTAAGAGCACATGATATGAATTTCAATTTTCAAAATTTAATAAAATGTATTCAGATTGATCGTTTTAAATGCTAAATATGCAGAATAATTTGATTGTGTGGGTATTTTGCAGGGGTAGGAGAAACAGAACCTAGGACAATACATGTCGTCTCCAGCAATGGATTAGCTCTACCTAGCTTCTCTGTAAAGTTCAACAATACTCACTACCAGAGCGACTCTGACACTTCTCTTCACATCCTAAATGTCTCTTTCTCAGACGCTGGAACTTATACCTGTTCTCTTAACAGTGAGAGCAAGTCATTTGAGCTGTATGTTATAGGTAAGGTGACATTTTGTATGGTGTAGTCATTATAATTACAGTTTTTGGATAGGCTGACAACTGAACTGAGCTAGGATAAATGAATGTTCCTGGACAATCCAGGCACATATTTATTAATTTAAACATATTAAACAACATTGAAGTTTTTCAATTTCTGAACATCAGTAATTTCAAAAATGATTAAATTTTCGAGACACCCTAAGCCGGTTTCAGGACAAAGAAAAAGTTCCTTAAGATTTTCTTAAAGGTTTTAAAGTACCATATCTTTTTAAAGAATACATCTATGTTCTTTCTTTCATTTTCCATACTGGTTACAAGTATTTAAATACATGAGGTTTAATTGTTTCTTTCAGAAAAACCTTACTGCCATAATTATAACAGTAGTGTGATAGTGAACCAGCAGGCCTATTTTGACTGCAGTGTCAATTTTCATGGAAATGATCGCCCTGAAGTGAGTTGGAAACATGGCAACAAAGAGCTGAATTTCTCTGTTGATTTCGAAAATGAAACTTACAGCTTAGCTCGTATGTCATTGGTTGCTTCAGAGGAAGATGATGGAAAGGTGTTCATTTGTCATGTTACATTTCCTTATGTCCATAATGGTTTTATCTGCCAAGCTCTCCCAAAGCTGAAAGTTTATTGTAAGTAAACTTCATACTAGTATGACATTAGGAATTTGATATAAGCATGGGAAAAAGTAATTGAGCACATGTATGTATTTGGTAATTGACCTTATCATTGGTCAGGTGGTTCTGAAGAAGAATATATTAAAAGGATTTTCCCTTTATATCCCTATGTCAATGTTAATTAGATCTGTATAAAAGTAATTAATTCAGAATTGAGAAAGTGATATCTATAAAGCATTTGTTCTGAATTAGATATGTATAAAAATTATGAATTCAGAATTGAGAAAGTGATATCTATAAAGTCCTTGATTTGCACACTTATATTTACAGTTCCTGTGAAAGAGACAGACATTATTCTTAGTCCATACAAAAAGGAGTATGAAGAGGGAAGCAATATTCTTCTTCGTTGTGTTGCCATAGGAGAGCCCCACCCCCGTTACAATTGGACATTCACCCCCCTTTCTGACCCCCTTAATGAATCTGTGAGGTCAACCCATCCAGCGTACAAAATCGTCAATGCCCATAGAAATGACATAGGAAACTATACATGCATTGTTCACAATGAAATTAATCATACAGTGTATACAGACACTAAAGTTGTCTTCTTGAATATAATAGGTAAGAATGAATTAATTTCTGTTAAAATACAAAGAGAATGCACTAAGAGGTTTTAAAGAGAAGAATTTTTATTTCAAACTATTGTCATTTTAATATGGCATGGAAATTAAGATAGCATCAATTATTCCAAAATATTTTAGTACAGTGTTAGGAGTAATTATATAAAAATCACCCCACCCCATGTCTTCTGTTTTAAAGCAATGGAATATAGTCAAATTATTATGCAGTTTGAATATAATGCATCATTTCAGGCAGAAGAGAAAGTAATATTGTCTAAAAAAAAAATTGTAGAAAATAAAGTAACAACAGTAAAACCTAAATACAGAATGATGCCTAAGCCAACAGAGGACAAAGGAGATGGAGACATTAACTGTAAGTAATTATCTGAGAAATTTTCTTATGGATCATGGGATGACATCTTATGTGATAAAGTTGATTTTCCACTTGGTACATGTATTTGTAAATTTTTGAATGTGTCTCAATCCCTGCAGTACATGTACAGTTGATACTGTCACTATCTGTCATGATGTAGGTTTGATACAGGGATACACTGATGATGATTCTGTCAATATAATGTATTTACAGTTTAATACAGATGTACTGATGATTAGGTTTTTGTTTCAGTCAATGCCTATGCTGTAGGAGCTGTTGTTAGTTCACTGCTAGCCATTCTGCTGATTGTAGTCTTCATCCTGCTGGCCATCAAATTCAGGGTACGGGTGATATAAAGGAGTTTCATTGAACATCACATGTAGTGTTTTGTACATAACAGCTGGAACTAGATAAAATATGCATGAAATAAATTTTGATATCTTACTTAAGACATTAATTAGTAAAAATTGATGTTTTCCTCTGGTAATTAGGCAAGAGAGCAGAAATACAGAGAAGGCATGTCCCTGGTGCAGGATGATTTTACAGATGATCAGGAATTGTTAGATGAGGACATGATAACAGCAAATGGAGGGACCGAGGAGGTAGGAGGGACATGTACACGGTTATATTCATCTTACATGAATCGTAGATTTCTTTAAAAACAAATTTTCATTTCAATATTGTGCATAATGATATGTATCTTAAAGTTCCAGAGCTTGTATAGATACATGTATAATTACATTACTGAGTCTGAAAAAACAAAATCATGATTTTTTTCTGATAGTTTTGTTTGAATTTAGTATGTTATACTCCATTGTAGACCCAAGGTCAGTACAGGAGACTTGGTCAGTATTGGGAAATCCCTAAGAGAGATGTTCGCCTGATGGACCTGATTGCTACAGGGTCGTACTGTGAAGTCTGGAGGGGGAGGATGAGGAAACACTCAGACAGTACAGATGTTCTTAGGGTGGCCATCAAGAAAATGCTAGGTACAGGTTAAAAAATGTAGTATTTCCCTTTGCAAAGAACCTTGATGGGGTTAAAAGCAATCTTAGAGTTTCATGGATATCATTCAGTTATGCTAGTTCATCTGTTCATGAGGTAGTAAGAGTCTGTCTCTGTTTGTTCAGATGATGCATCAGAAGTGGGCAGGAAGTTCTTTCTGGCAGAGATGGAAGTGATGAAAACATTGAAGGCTCACAGTAATGTGATCACCCTTATTGGATGTTACACATTAACTGGTAATTCTTTATAAATAATATTTCAAACTTAATGGATATATTAACCAGTTGGTTATGGCAAAAGAAAAAGAAACATGCCTAGTATGCATTATAGAAAATGATTTAATTCATGTTTGGTAAACAAAAAATCTTGATTTTCCTAAAATAGACTAGATATTAAATAAAAGTTTGTTATATCCTGATTTATAGCTGCATTTGTAATAATTATGTCAAACATTTGCATTACTAAGTAATTCACATTCTTACCTTTATTTTGCATATTTGAAGTTGCTTTAGAAACGTTATCTATGAAAAGCACTAGAAAAATTGAAACTTATAGGATTTTCTTAATCTGGTGTTCATTTTGACTACAACTTATCATTTAATTCATTCAATTCAGAACCTTGGATGCTGATGCTGGAGTATGCACATGAGGGAACCTTGCAGAAATACCTGAAGAAACACAGACCTGGTTCACAGCGTGTTGAGATTCAATCTCAGGAATCGGTCAGACTTAAGAATAACAGGATAGATGCCAAGAAACTCCTAACTCTGGCTTCCCAGGTCATCAGTGGATTGCTGCATTTGACAAAATATAAGGTAGGTTTTCAAATCAAATGTATTGCAAATCATAGAACAGAAGTTTGATCATAGAATTTATAGGTCATGTGTGATTTCATAAAAATTTGTGTCAACTTTGCTTAGAGGTGGAAAAAACACCTTATTTACATTCTATTCTAAAAGTAAATTTATTGAATTTTTTTCAATAATCACAATTATAGAGTATCTTTTTGTACATTGTATATTGAAGAATAAAAAGAATTATGTTTTATTCTACCAAAACTGTGTTTTTATACCACATATAGCTCCTATACTACCGACTATCTGCATCCAGTGTCCTTGTGGCCAAAGGAGGAGTGTGCAAGTTATCAGGGTTTATGTTTCAGAAAGAAATAACAGAGAGGAATTTGTATGAAAAGGTAATGCCACTTTTATTGTAGTTTTCTACAAAATGATGCTGTATTACAGAAAAGTAGATCAATCTCTTTTATGACTGTTGATTTTTGATGCCAATTTACTTACAGGAATCTCTACCTGTTCGCTGCATGTCACCAGAATCTTTGTCACAAAATATATTTGATACAAAGACCGACACATATGCCTTTGGTATTTTGTTATGGCAGATTATACATTTTGGTAAGAATTTATCATAGGACTGGTATAACATTCTTGGTATTTGGGTTAACAATAGCCACAGTACTTGTTACACCCCTCTCAGAATTAAAATAAAATATATCAAATTTTGAACCTCTGTGAAGAACAATTTATAACCTTATAAAAATAAATTTATTTCCTATAGGATTAAGGCCGTATCCCTCTATGGACATTGAAGAAGTGAAAGAGAAAGTTCTCTCAGGATACCGCATGCCTCAGCCACCGCACTGTAGTTCTGAATTGTATGTTAAAGAAATGTTTATATTTCTCTGTCTAAATTCAATGAAATGTTGGGAAAATGAAAAATTCACTGCAATTGCATCATTCTTCATTGTATTTGTAAACATATGCATTGTTAACAATTTTTTGAAAATAAAAATGGAGGCTAAGTATTTAATTTATTTCAATTTCCTATGCTATTATGTCTGCTTAAAAAGTTATTATTGAATTATAATTTTATTTAAGACGACCACTTCAGTTTTAAGATAAAGACTCTTCGTCTGTATTTAAGGTTTGCCTTAATGGATAGATGTTGGAGTGTAAATCCAGATGAGAGACCCCTGTACCCTGATATCTTACAAGCCCTGTCTGTCCTACAAACCAACAGTGACACAAACATTGTTCTGGAGGATCTTCCAGGCCTGTCAACCTCTGAGAGTGAGACCGAAACAGAATGTAATCCATAGAAGGTCATCTTGATAATCCAAAGAAGGTCATCTGGATTATCCATAGAAGGTCATCTGGATTACGTAATCTGTTAAGATACTCGTATATTGATGAGGCACTCACAAATTGAACTTGATTTTTTTTTTCTTAAATACATTAATTTTGCCATTGACACAAGGATAATTTTTAGCTCACCCAAGCCAAAAGCTCACTGTAGCTTTTTTCTGATTAAGGAATGTCCAGAGTCTGTCTGAGTGAACTTTTCACATATTCAACTTCTTCTCCAGAACTATTTAATTAATGAATATCTTGTTTCTTAGTGCTAGGTGGGGGGGGGGGGGGGGCACAATAGGGGTCAATGATTTATATTAAAATTTAGGGGGATGTGTGTAGAAAGTTTCTACTCTGAAGAACAGCAGGGTCACAATCAAGTAGTGAAGGTAGACATTTTACCTGCCCTCTGACAAGGTTGGGGGTCACAGTAGGTATTAAAAATTACATGTAAATGGAAATATTTAGGGAAAAATTGGACAAGTAAGTGTCTTACAAGCATGACTGCAGGAACTACACTTAAGCCTTGGTAAATAGCAAAGTTTTATACAAATATAATTATACTAAATCATGAAGTCTACAATTTGTAAAGTTGACCTAGAGCGTTTAGTACATTACAATGATTTATAATAATTATTGTTGAAATCTTTGATGCTAATTTGGTGACCACAAAAGGGGATTTCATACATTAGAGAAAACATGTACTTATTTATTAGGAAGAGCATAATGACTCAGATGAGCATTATGGCCCATGGGCTTTTTTGTTTTACTTTGTATCACATATGATAGAAAGGTATTTGTACATTTGATATTTATCATTTATAACTTTAATTACAGTAAAACCTGCAGATCTCATGGTATACTTTTGTTTTATAATCACAGAATACATTTCACATATAATTGCAAAGGTTAGACAAATGAATTGAATTTTTAAAATAACTGTTTAATAATTGTGCGTTTCTTTATCATACATCATATAATTCATATACTAAGGTTATTATCATGTACCTTCACTTTTTGGGTGCATTTTCTGAGAGAAAGTTGATTTTACACAGAATGAGAAGTCTTTCCACACAATATTATATAATTAAAAGGTAGATATGGCATCAGGAATTGGGGGAAAAATGGACTGATTAAAATATTTGTATGCATAATATTAAACTTTGTAGTATCTGAATCACCTTTCCCGTCCAATATAAAATAATAGAACTAGAAATTTAGATATAATATCTTTTATTCACATTCACATATCAAGAACTCTGTCCACTTCTGTATATTCATATTTTTATATCTACTGACATTACATGCCATTGTTCAGTTCTTATTAGATATAAAGAATTTAGAAATTTTCAAGTCAATTAATTTTTGCATATTTAGGGCAACATATGCATATGCATCTATATGCTTTTAAAGTGCCTAAATCCCCTCAAAATGTATTCCTATGCTAAAATCATGTAAACTAACCAATTTAAAATAGCTGACAAAGGATTTATACTTGTGCATTTTGGTTCATTTGAGTTTAAAAATAATATACATTTTACATGCATAAGTTTCAAGTTTTACAATTAAACTTACCATTGAGGTTAGCAGGCATTACACTTAAAAATTATTAAAGCGTATTATAAACATTTATTTAAACTTAATTTGAAGAAGGACATTTTTGTGAAAACATTGCATGCACATATCTGATAAAAAGAAAAATTGACTATAAAATTTCCAATTCACCTAGAGTAGGTGTATTTTTACCGGTATCTGTCTAACATTTACTTGTATATTTATACTGACACGCAAAAGAAACGCAACAAGCAGTAATCTACAAATGTTTGAATTTTTTATCTAATGATTTTTAAAAAGGAATACAGTAAGACTAAAATCACTTTTCAGAACATCAGAGATTTGATAAAAATGTTAAATGTTTATCTTTTAACTTTACTAAGTAACATATGACTTTTAAAACACCCCCCTCCCAGCCATTCAATTACAACGTGCAAGACTGTCCTAAACAACATTAGCAGTTTAATTTCTAAGATACAATAGGTTAATCAATATCGAGATCTGAGCGAAGGAATTATTCTTTATCATTTTTAAATGCCTGTTTTTCAGATGATTAGGTCGCATTTTCTCTAACTTAGCGCATTGTAGTAACCCTTGGACTTCCGGTCCAAAGACTATCATTTATGAATAAAATAGGTAAGACCCTGTTGAGACGTAATGTAGTGAATTTTTGCATCATCAACTCTCCATCGCCATTACTTTGTGATTTTCCAGCTAGAGCAATGGAAATGCGCACTTAAGCCATTTTCAAGAAGCTTTAACGTCGTTACGGGAGACGAAAGGAGATTTTATTTTTTGAAATATTGCTGCATTACTTAAGATGAACAGTACAAACCCTTAAAACTCCATAATATTGCCAGCTGTTTTGTGAAACATGCGATTTTCGATTTCTGTTATGCAGACTCAAACTTGACTTTCGGTTATGGTATGAAAATCGTTCAACCGTTAAATTACCGATATTTACCAATTTGAAGATATCCATAATTTTAAGATTTAAAATTTTTTACTTTACATAGTTATTTCACCCTAAAGTAGGGTGTTGCGTTTCTTTTGCGTGTCAGTATATGTCAAATAGTGTTCATTATGAACTAAGTGTAAGGAATTTGTTTTGTTCCTTAATCAATTACCTACACAAAAACATATGTGATGATTCATGTGTTTTTAGCATTTTTGTAACATTAATTCTATGTTAAAATAGACTTAGTATCAATATAAAATAGAATTCATACTTATTTCTTAGTACAAATGTCTCTGATTAAAGTGCTAAATGATTCTATCCTTTTGACTAATAGTTCTTGTGTATTTGCAGTTCTGTTCACGATAATTTACTATTTAGTGTGTGCTATATAAGATACTTTTCATCCTACCATGTTTTTTTGTACACCTCGATCAGATATTTTTTTTAACGGAACTATTTTGAATTCAGACAGAATTTCAGACAGTGTTTTTAGAACATTCTTTTGTCAATTAAGGTGCACATTGTGTTCAGAATAGAAAGGTTGGTTTAATTGTTTTTGTTGTGTTTATAGGGAATTGTTTTTGTTGTGTTTATAGGGTTTTATTGTTTTATCAGGATGTGGAAAAAGATTATCCTGTTAACTAATTGTTAATTTTTTGCTTCTACTAAAAGAATAAGGAAAAAATTGTAGTGTGACTTTGTTAATTGTTAATGCTAAGAAAAAGTGCAATACTCAACATGTAAAACTAACTAATGTATCTTTATATGCTTAAAAAAATGGTGACATTTCAAAAAAAATTCTCATGAATGTATTAGGATTCTGTCTGAGAATTATGTGTATTTTTGCTCTATAAAACTGTATGACCAATCGGACTAAAACTTTATGTCCAGAAAGATTTCTATACTATGGATTTTGTACAGGGTAACAGTGATGTAATTTTTCCTGAAATAAGATTTTACAAAAAAAAAATTTCAAATTGGATATGAAGTACAAATGGTGAATCTTTTGTTGTTGTTTTTTTCTGTCATTGAATACTGTTAAACATTTTTTTTTTTAGATATTTGATATTTTATTTATTTCATTGATAATATTTAAGAAATTTGGTTCAAAAATTAATATATTTATGGAACAATGAAATTAAATATCCACAAAATGATTTTTGATCATAATTCAATGAAATTTTAACATAAGGCCATGTATAAAAAAAAATGTTTGGTTGCCCTCTCCCGACTAATTGTCTAAAATGACCCAACTCAAATTTTTTTTTTATTTCTACGAGGGGTGATCAAAAAGTTCGCAAAACTAATTGAATGACTTCCATAAAAGAAACATAATTTGGTCAGTGTAGATTATATTTTAAATTAGTCCTCTCCAATTTTAGTGCGCGAGTCACAAGGTATAGGCTGTCACGTGACCTGCTCCGTAGCTTTCTGTCACGAAAGCTGAAAGGTTTTTCTGAGTTTTATATTTCTTTCCGTGCGAGTTAATTTTTATAACAAGAACAGGTCATTTGTCAGAAATGGTCAAATCTCGGCAAAAGAATGGGTGGATAAGAATATCCTTTCCCAAAATGAGCTTGGCAACGATCAGAACTTAAATTCTCTGTCTTGGGAGAGTTGTTTTTACAAGGTGGATAAAGTATGGGTGCCTCCTTTTTATCATATCTAATTTGTTAAAAATCTAAAGTAAACGATATCTTCGGTATTTAATAATCATATTATTGTTAAGATATTCAACTATTTTTCAAACTGTAAATTGGAGGTTTTTCATAACAAATTTGTTAATTAAAAACACACCTCTTTTCAAACCTGCTTTCACTGGGCAACAGAACAATTAAAATTTTTAACCATCTCCCTTCCTTCGCTTTAACGATCGATCCAATCATTGATTAAATTTCTAGGAAGTCATTTGTCTTAATAAATTGTGTACAAATTATTATATGCTACTAAAAAGGAATTTCCAAGTTATTCCATAAACTTTACAGCCGTTCGTTGAACGAGTACGACTGAGACAACCAATTTTCGTCACAAGTGATCTACATATTGACGTCATTTTCACATTGTGACGTCACAAAGAAAGAGCAAAACATTATTCAACATATGCTATTTATAGAACTTGTGTATGGCTATGTGTGTACCAAATTTTATTCTAATCTGAATAGTGGTTTTGTAGATATAGAGATAGTTCGCTAACTTTTTGATCACCCCTCGTATGGAAGATAGAATCTAAAGTTATACATGCTATAACTTGCGTCAGTTTAAATACGGTTGGAAATTTATGCATTTAGTTCACGAAAATACTGTAAATTACACCATTAACAGTGAAAGTGCTACAAAGATATCAAATTATAATTATATATTATCCTGTAAGGAAAGTAATGCTTCTCTGACTGTTAAAATAAATCCATGGCATGACGCCGTCGCTTCTTTTAGATTGATTAACAAATATGGCATCAAGAAAACAAGGAATACAACTATTTACTTTTGACATGGATGGCAAACGTCTTACTGTGAAAGATACTTATCTTTTAATTTAATGTCTATCAACCAAGTACTCTGTAATGACACATATTAAGCTTTTATAAATAATTGTAGTCACAACCTCATTGTCTATGATTTCTCATGGACCTGCGTAAACTGTTTATGCTCTCCCTTCATCAATAATTTTGAAAAGACTAAATTCTTAATTGCAGATATTGCTTCATTGTTTTGTTATTACGTCAACTTCCATAAAATTTTGTGGAA